GTTGATCTTGTTCCTGATCTATAGGACTCCCTCAGTTCTGACACTGACAGTCACCAGCTTTGTCATAACATTACCCTCCATATCTGTACTCTTAAGATGAATCCTACAGATGGTATCAACATTCCATCTTCTATAGACATTGCCAGGCAGCTTCTCCTATGTGGACCTTGGTACCAACTGAACCTTAATCCAGCCACATATTCTCACATTCAGTAGAAGGTCATAGGATAACTTTCCCCACAGGCTTACCTTCTGTCTTCATCAGTGCCATTTCAATGCTCATAGCTTCTGGTACTGTGGCCTACGCTGACTGTACCAGTAATCAGCAAGTGTGATTACTGGTACAGTCAGCATAGGCCACAGTACCAGAAGTTGTGTGCCACTTTAGCACATGAATTTCCTCCTCATCAGGAAGCCCCTCCAACCTCACTGATGTAGTCCTCTTCAGACAAGGGCCAGGGGACTGTACCTCTCCTGCTAGTCATCGAACCATCCCTTTACTCCCTCAACAGATGCCCTCATGGGAAATCTGAACCCACTATCAGCAGCGGATGGTATACAGCCTTTTGCTGATCACCTGCACTGACTGGCACCAGCCTTTGACCTCAAAGTCAAAAGTCCCATCCAACACTGTAACTGATCCTCTATTTCAGCAGGTCCAATCTAAAGCCTAGCTACCTGTGGGTATCCCTGTCTTACCATCACTCTTCCATGTAGCCAGTCTTGGCAGACCCACTTGTCCATCACTCTCCCATCAAGGAGAATGGAAAACTATGTCAGGTGATCCACCTTCCTTTTCAAACATCCCCTCTGACATCTGTCGTAGCAGAAGCCTTCCAGGACAAATCCAGAGACAGAGTATGCTGAACACTAAGTGTCAGGGAGGGAAGGAAACTAGAAGCCTTTGGAAAAAAGTTTTGCTCTACCGTTGCCATATCTCTCAGAATGTTTATCTATCAGGCCTGCCAGCAATTCTTCTGGGAGAAGACTGCCTCTATTATGGACAGGTTCACAGGTGATAACTGCCTGATAACCCTCATCTTTTACACTGAGGCCCACCATCTCACAATTCAACAGTTCACTATGGCTCACTGTTTATGAGACAAAGGCCTTAGCAACAGCTGTTACATTAAGACAATGCATGTAGGTTCTCTGGACTCTTTTTTCCAAGAGGGTACCACTTTTAGAGGATCTGCCTTTTGACAAAGTTGGACTCCTCCACGAAGATACTAATACATTATGATAAGAAATATTGGTGTCATTACTTCTTCCTATCAGAATTATAGGTTTCTCCCATTTTGGCTTCAACCAGGGTCCAAGCTCTCCTCTAGCCTCCCTCTGTACCACCAACCTTGGACCTTTTACATAAGAACATATGAAGAGCCCTGCTGGATCAGGCAAAGGGCCCATCTAGTCCAGCTTCCTTTACATCACAGTGGCCCCACTAGATGTCTCTGGGAGCACACGTGACAACTAGATACCTGTCTCCTGATACCCCTCCCCTGCCTCTGGCATTTTGAAGTACCTTCCTTTTAAGCCTGGAGATCATACATCCCCATCATAGCTTGTAGCCTGCGATGGACTTTTCCTCCAGATATCTGTCCAATCCCCTTTTAAAGGCATCTAGGCCAGATGCCATCACCAGATCCTGTGTCAAGAAGTTCCACAGACTAACAACACACTGGGTGAAGAAATATTTTCTTTTGTCTGTTCTCACTCAGCAATATGAGTGGTTGTCCCCTGGTTCTGGTATTGCGTGAGAGGGAAAGGAGCTTCCCTCTATCCACTTTATCCATGCCCTGCATCATTTTATACATCTTAATCAGGTCCCCTCTCAGACACCTTTTCTCTAGACTAAAGAACCCCAAACGCTATAGCATTTCCTCATAAGGGACCCAGCCCAGTAATCATTTTAGTCTCTCTTCTGCACCTTTTCCAATTCCACTATATCTTTTTTGAGGTGCAGCAGCCAGAACTGTACACAATACTCCAGATGCAGCTTCACCAATGTTTTGTACAATGGCATTATAATGTTGGCTGTTTTATTTTCAGTCCCCTTTTTAATGATACCTAGCATGGAATTGGCCTTCTTCACTGCCGCTGCACACTGGGTTGACAGTTTCATCAAGCTGTCCACCAGCACACCAAGATCTCTTTCCTGATCCATTACGAACAGCTCAGAACCCATCAGAACCCATCAGCTGATAAAGTTTTGATTTTTTTTGCCCCAATGTGCATTACTTTACATTTTCTTATATTGAAACACATTTGCCATTTTGCAGCCCATTCTCCCAGTTTGGAGAGATCCTTCACAAACTCTTCTGGTCTTCACCACCTGAAAAAGTTTTGTGTCATCTGCAAACTTGGCCACCTCACTGCTTATCCCTATCTCTTATGAAGAGGTTGAAAAGCACCGGTCGGAGGAAAGATTACTGGCGCACACTGCTTTTTACTTTCTCCATTGTGAAAATTGCCCATTGACACCTACTCTCTGTTTTCCTGGTTCTCAACCAATTCTCAATCCATAAGAGGACCTGTCCTCTTATCCCCTGACTGTGGAGTTTTCTCAGCAGCCTTTGCTGAGCGACTAAGTTAAAAACCTTCTGAAAATCCAGATATACAATATCCACTGGTTCGCCCATATCCACATGCCTGTTGACCTTTTCAAAGAATTCTAAAGGGTTTGTGATCCAAGACTTACCCTTACAGAAGCCATGCTGATTTTCACTCAGCAAGGCTTATTCTTCTTTTACCCCTTTATCTCTCAGAAGAAGCCCTTCTTACCATCAAATGGCAGACCTCTGTCCATGACCAGCCCCCAGGGTCATCCATTTTTCAGGTAGTCTACCTCTCTGGTGACTGCAACACAACAATGTCCACACCCATTCTGTGACCACCTTCCATGAGTGGCAGTTGTCTTCTGTGGTAGCTCAGCATCTCTATCATTACTGGGGTCATCCTGTGATTTATCTGTTTGCCTCCACATCCAGTGCCCAATGCACTTGCTTTTACTGCAGACCAGCGTCCATCAGCATAGTTGACCTACACAGTGTTCTATCCTGTCACTTACCCTGGATTGCAGGACCTCTCTTTTGCCTCCCTTATGGTGGCCATTTCCGCCTCCCTGCCTTATCTTTTGGGGCATTCTTGGTTCCACTTATCCCAAGTAAAACATTTCTTAGGCTTCCTTCAGCTGCTCGCATTCCTGATTTGTCCACCTCTGGTTAGTCTTCTCTTGACTTCAAGGCCAACCCTTTTGAACCCGTGGCAGTCCACGATCTTTATCTAATGTCCCTTAAGGGTGCTTTTATAGTCACAGTCGCTTTGGCCCATTGAGTTTGAAAGTTCATGGCATTATTCTGTGACCCACTATTCTTAGTCTTCCACAAGGAGATTACCCCATAGCCAGACATCACTTTTTTACCTTGTCCTGACTCCCTTATTCCATTATCGTACCTCCCCTGCAAAAGTACCCTTCCATTCCTTCATGTCAGGAGTGCCTAACTTTTCTGCTTCCATTCGGAACCAAACATTTTGACAGACAGCTTGTTTCTATGATGAATCCCATAAGGAATGCTATCTTGCTTCATAGGCTATCCACAACCATCTGACTGGCTTATGACCTGGCAGCAGCCCCATTCCTGCCAGGCATCATGTAGGAATCCTTCAGTCTTGAGAGACTATGGTAACGTGCTCTGAATAGAGGTCCTGGAACAATGTCTAGTGTGGCTGAGAAGGTCAATATGAGAGTGACAATCCCTTCCACACTGAAGACAAATACAATCTTTCCCCTGTCCAGCTCCCTGATTTTGCTGGTTTCGGGGCTGCCTCTTTGCCAGGCATCACAGCTCACTCAACAAGAGCAGTGTCTTCTCGTACAGAATGGATTTCATGGGATTCCTCTAGACGGCAGTTGCAGAATAGACGCCTAGTCACAGCTGTTGACATTAGTCTGGCACTACGGACTGGACATCTGTGTCTGCCAGGAGGCCATCTTCAGATTAGAGGTGCTGTCAAGAGCTGTCCAGTGGCCACTGCACCTGTCCCCCAAGGCAGCTTGCTAATAACCCATATGTGTGATTCACAGAAACCACAATGAAGATGTCCGGGTTGATCACCTATAACCATTGATTCTTTGAGTGGTCATCTATGCATTCACATATACCACCCTCCTCACTTGAGGTCACTAAAAGTTCTTGTTTCTTCCTGCTGCTCCCTAGCAGCAAATTTGTAGAACTGAGGTCTAGGTGGGAGCCCTATGTATTGATCGCCATAGATGGTTAGGCAGGATTCCTGTCAAAATATTTTCATTATCATTTTACCACTAGAACATTATAAGATCATTGAATGTGCACGGGACAGACCCATTTGTACAGATGACTGCTTGAAGAACCACCGTTACAGGTAAACAGCCTGTTTTTTTGAGAACTGATTGTAGCTAGCATTACATTCTCAACTGGAACTCTGAGTAACCTTTGGTGATGTGGTGGCATTTACTTGGCAGATAATGTCTTACTTTTGAAAGAGGTTCACTGTCTACCAGGCAATTTCCAAATCTGTTTCAAAGTGCTGGTGCTAATCGATAAAGCACTGTAATGTTAGGAAACAGTTATGCATACGATTAGCATGACATAAACCAATGTTTACTTTCCGTATACTGAGCTAATTTGTCAATATTATTTTCCGGGTGCTCCCACTATAAGAGCTGAGAGAGCTGGCAATCACAAAGAAGGTACTCCTAGCTATGGCATTCCATTCATGAAATTTCTTCCACAAGGAAGCTAGCGTGCTATCTACTTTTGCACTCATTAAACATTTTGGAGTTCCCCCCAGTCTTTCAAGTATGTTTAATTTTTTTTGTTTTTTATACACCTGTGATCCCTGAACTCTTATATTTTAATATTTAAATTTACTATTTGTTTTTAAGCCATAAATGTTGCTTTAAATAATTGTGAACAATATTTGTAAAATATTTGTATTTGTGTATTTATTAAATACAGTTAGAAAACCTAATGTTGGATAAAGATGGACACATAAAAATTACAGATTTTGGGCTTTGCAAAGAAGGAATCACAGATGCAGCTACTATGAAAACGTTCTGTGGCACACCAGAGTATTTGGCTCCAGAGGTATGTCAGCCTTTTGCTTTGTACATTGCAAACATGTTAGATTTCACTTAGTTGCACCAAGGGTAGGGAACATGTGGCTCTTCAGATGTTGTTGGATTATGGTTATCTTCAGCAGTAGCAAGTGTGGCCAGTAGTGAGGGACATTGGAGGCTGCAGTCCAACAACATCAAAGAGCTACCTATTCTTTTTATTTGTACTACAGGTGTGTGAAGTGATTATAGATTCAAATATTGGAAATACTTTAAATGTGCAGTTTAAGCATAACCACAAGTACCTTAAATTGAACTGCCAATTCCTAGTGCAGAAGTGTTAAAAGTATTTCATTTCATTCTGTACATACACTTTATAACATATTTTCTGTTGGTTTTTTTTTTTTTTTTTTTTTTTTTTTTTTTTTTTTTTTTTTTTTTTTTTTTTTTTTTTTTTTTTTTTTTTTTTTTTTTTTTTTTTTTTTTTTTTTTTTTTTTTTTTTTTTTTTTTTTTTTTTTTTTTTTTTTTTTTTTTTTTTTTTTTTTTTTTTTTTTTTTTTTTTTTTTTTTTTTTTTTTTTTTTTTTTTTTTTTTTTTTTTTTTTTTTTTTTTTTTTTTTTTTTTTTTTTTTTTTTTTTTTTTTTTTTTTTTTTTTTTTTTTTTTTTTTTTTTTTTTTTTTTTTTTTTTTTTTTTTTTTTTTTTTTTTTTTTTTTTTTTTTTTTTTTTTTTTTTTTTTTTTTTTTTTTTGCAACTATGTAAAGTCAGAACATCCAAAGAGAGACTCACAAATTAGATGACGGTAAATAATGGAATGGGAACAGTGGTTCCAAAGTAATAGTGGATGAAACCTAAGGATCACTGCTTAAGGCTGTTGTGGCTTAATCTATAAAAGTGTTTTACAGTGGTGACAAGCGTGCTTTTATATTCATCTAAAGATGTGTCTTCATCAACTTGAAAGCTGGCTTTATTTTCCAGGATAAGGGTGATTTGAAATGCAGGATTTTTCATTCAGTCTTTATTTTTCTCACCTACCCACCCACTCTGAATAGATGATATAGGGAGAGAGGAGTATGAAATCCCACAGCTTGGTCTAGCTGTCCCTCTAAGGGAAATTATCAGCTGTGCAATCCCATAGCTTCAGCTCTGATACTACCAAATTGAGTGAAGAGACAGAAGAACAGGGGACAGCAACATACTGCATCTGCGGTTATTTGCTGCTCCCCAAGGGTTCCTGCTGCTGCTGAGTTAGCAGTGGTGGCCAAAATAATTTGGCACGGTGGCAAAATCCCTTTAAAATGAGTACTTCCACTTTAAAGAAAGATGTACAGGGACCATGCATGTTTTAATAGGATTGTTGTGTCTTCGTGTAATGGGGTATGTATTAAATAATACTTACCAGAAAGAATATTGAATCATTTACACTCAGCAGCTTACATTCGTACTTGTCCAGATTTGTTTTTATCTTTTTTAATTTTTATCCTTCATGGATTGCTTTGAAATATTAAATTCAGTATCTTTTAATGATTAGTTTCTTGCTGAACTTTAGAGAAACATCTTTATATCCATTGAGAATCATAGCTACCTATTCTTCTGCTAATTATATGAACTTTCCCCTTTTCTGTTGAGGTATCAATACTTGTTCAACCTTCTATTGTAAAACAGTTTGAAAATCCAGTTCAGTTCACATGCAAGACCCAACAAAATCAGAAGTGTTAAGAATGTTGTTGGCAGTTCATTTTTATTATGCCCTGCCTTCAAATGTATGAGCAGATAATCATCTGAATGTTACTTATTTTTCACATGCTTATGTGATCACACAAAAAGTACACACTAAAAAGAAGCAGATGGTGACAGATGGGGAAGGTTGAATAAGGTGGTTTTGGAAACCTAGAAAACTGCACTTCTGTAATTGTGTAAAAATAAAATTTTATTTGATTGCCAAGTTAGAGCTAACAAAACAAGCACATCAGATAAAACCTTGATTGTTAATGAATGTCTATTTTATGGTAATGTTGATCAAATTATATATCTATATATTATCCTTGTCAAAATTATATTCCTTAGTATATTTCTCGTTATTTATAATGAATAAGTAGGAAAATATTCTTGAGCATATGTACTTGGGAGTATGAGCTGTTGAATTTAGTGAAACCTACTTTCAGGATTGGACCATAAAAATAAACAATTAGTCATAATAATTGAAAAAACCTCTGAGAAGTTGGTTTCCATTTAGCAAAGGTGAAAAACAAAAATGTATTCTGTCTCTCTAGCTTTTTAATCTACATGCAGAACTTATTATAGTAAAAACTAATTTTAGAATCACATGAAGGAGGAGTAAAAATAGCTGGAAGGAACACCAGTAATTTAAGATGTACAGGTGACACTTTATTAGTGACAGAAAGCAGTAGTGATTTGAAACGACTTGAAATGGCTTGATAGGTGAAAGAAGATGCAAAAGCAGGCATAAATCATGACTAGATAAAAAAGAATTACATAACTGTTATTTTGAATTTCAAAAAATTGAAATTACTGAGGATTTTTTATACTTTGTGTGTTCAATCCAAGTGGAGACTGCAGCAAATAAATCAGAAGACTGAGACTTGGAAGAGCAGTTATGAAAGAACTAGTAAAGATGTATAAGAGTAAGGATGTGTTAGGGGATACCAAGGCCAAGATCATCCATACTATAATATTCCTAATTATGATGTACAGATGAATTAGAATTAGAATTTATTTATCATGGTCAGGTGACCAGCTCATAAAACATATGTACAAATGAGAAAATAAAATATAAATAGTTTCCTCAGGGATGGGGGAGAAGAAGAAATACAGTGGTGCATTGCTTAACGGGTGCTCCGTTTAGCGAAGAAACCGCATAGCGATGAAGATTTTGCGATCTGAAAAGTGATCGCATGGCGATGTTTTAAATGGGCTTTTTTCGCTTTGCGATGATCGGTTCCCTGTTTCTCTTACTGATCATCGAAAAACGATGATTTTTAACAGCTGATTGGTGGTTCCAAAATGGCCGCTGGGTAAAAACAATGGCCGCCCGCTGTGTTTAGGGATGGATTCCTCACTTAAGAGGCAGCGAAAATGGCTGCCGTATGGAGGATCTTCGCTTTAAGGTCAGTTTTTTGCCCATAGGAACACATTAAACAGGTTTTAATGCATTTCTATGGGCTTTTTAAAATCGCATAGCGACGAAATCGCTTAGCAGCGATTTTTGCTGCACGGATTAACGTCGCTATGCGAGGCACCACTGTAATTGGATGGTACATTAAATTAAGCCCAAACTCTAACAACAACACATAGTGAGAAGACTGGGTTCACTAGAAAAGACAATAATGCTGGAATGACTAGAGAAGATCATAGAATCATAGAATAGTGAAGCTGGAAGTGGCATGTAAGCCCATTGAGTCCAAATCCCTACTCAATGCAGGAATACGAATGGAAGGATATTTGTCTAAATTTGACCAAATATAAAATGGATTGGCTCAATAAAGGAAGTCACAGACTTGAGTTTGCAAGGCCTGAGTTGGGCTCTTAACTTTAGCACCTTTGGAGGTCAATCCTGTTGCACGGCACCATGTGTGCAATGGGAATGACAGCATTAACAGTGGCAGCAAATCACTGTTGATTAAAGGCTTCCTTTGGTGATGCAAGAAGTCACAAGCACCCTGAATTCACCAAGAGAAGCCTTTAATAAGTGTCAAATTGCCACTGCCCATGACATCATTCCCTTGCACATGTGGATCTCCACTAGTGGATTTTCATAATTTGGAAGCAACTTTACGGCACATAACAACCATCATAAAGTGTTTAATTCTCCCTACAGATTTTTCTGAGGAATAATTTCATCAGGCTTGGATTTGATTTTTCAGATCAGAAGCCATGCTTTGTGAAGGTAGATTTGAAGCTACTACATGCTGATATGTTAATACATGTATACAAAATACTCAGTTTTTCAAATTAATTTTGTTAATATTAGTCTCCTGAAGCAGTGCTGTGTAAAACTTGCCATTTTTTTTTTTTTTTTTTTTTTGCAATTCAAGAAACATTCTGTAGGACCTCAAAAGTAGCCTTACTCTAGGTTATGCTCCAGTGCTGGACTTTGTACAGTTTTAGTGAACACGTTCATGTACAGTCGTGCCTCACTTAGCGATGTTAATCTGTTCTGGAAAAAAACATCGCTAAGTAATTTAATCACTAAGCGATATTAAAAAGCCCAGCGCGTTTAATACATTCCTATGGGCTAAAAACTTACCTTAAAGTGAAATTCCTCCATGGCAACGGCCATTTTTGGTGCCTCTAAAGTGAGGCAAAACAGCGGCGGCCATTTTGCTTTTGTGGTGGCCATTTTGGAACTGCCGATCAGCTGTTTAAAAAAGTTCACTTTGCCATGATCGCTTCCCTATGATCACCGCAAAGCGAATTTTAGCCATAGGGGACATCGCTAAGCGATCGCTCCAGTGATGGCCAAAAGTCCATCGCAAAGCGATTTCATCGCTAAGCGAGGCACCACTGTATATTGTGTCTTGTCTTTTGTGTTTTAATCCTCTTGCAAATCACTTTGTGACTTTTTAATGTCCGTGAAATAATTCATAAAATTCAGCGCTAATAAAATGAACTGTATTACAAGTGAAATGTGTCTGCAGTGTCAAGTCTCTGGAATACAGTACTATACTGCTTCATTGCGGTCTGAGTCTTCACATTAACATGTTTGCATCTGCACAGAGCCACATTTTAGAATATTCCAGATGGAGAGAGAGTATTTTAGCAGTAGCCCTGCCCATCCTATCTACAAAACATACAGCAGTGCTCAGCCTCTCAGTTCTACTTTGTCAAAGTGTGCTCACTTAGTAGAACTTATTGTTTGAGAGATTTAAATAGGGAGATAATAATACAGGTTTAAAAAAAATTACCTTTAGGCAGTTTTCAGCACAACATACTTTACTTTGAGATGGTCATTCTTTATATTATTGATATTTTTTGTTTGCCAGTTTTTCCCTTAGGGCCTATGGCCCCAGAGG